AGGGAAGGAAGGACAGAGAGAAAGGAGAGAAAGGAGAGAAAGAGGGAGGGAAGGTTGGCCACAGCAACGCATGGCGGGTACAGCTAATAATAATAATAATAATAATAATAATAATAATAATAATAATGACCCAAAGAGGGAAAAGTGAGACCAGATGGATGCAAAACGAGGGAGGAAAGGAAGGTTCCCGCCTTCCTCCCCCATTCTGTTGTTTCTGCATTGAAGCAAACGAGGTTGCCCTAATCAGGCTGTTCCTGGAATGCGGGGTGGATAATTGGTTTTTGCATCCAAAAAGTCATTAGGCTTCGCGTGAGCATCAACAGAACAAGAGGAAGAAGAAGACGAGGGGGTGAAAACCATGGTTGTACTCCAAGAAGGAGATCCAAGGCCATTTCTAGAGAGCCCTCTCCTCCGACACATCCGTTGCACGGAACCCAGGGCCGCTCAGCATTTGAGGAAACGAGGCTGGCTTCTGGGAAGCCATTGGGCAAAACAAGGCTGCGCACTACTTACGATATGAGCCCTAATCAATATTTATGGTGCACTAGCTGTCCCCTGCCCCGCGTTGCTGTGGCCCAGTATGTGCATATATCTTTTGTGTGTGTATATGTGTGTATATATCTGTATATATGTGTGTGTTTACAGATATATATATATGTAGGTGTATATATGTGTGTTTGCTTATATATATATATATATATATATATATATATATATATATATATATTGACCCCTGCCACACGTTGCTGTGGCCCAGTCTGTGTATATATGTTTTGTGTGTGTATATGTGTGTATATATCTATATATGTGTGTGTTTACAGATATATATATATGTGTGTGTGTGTGTGGGTGTATATATTGTGTATATATGTGTTTGCTTTTTATATACATATATATATACATATATATACGCGGCTGGGTTCCGGTATGGCGGCTGGCAGCGAAAACCGCTGCGCTCCTCAGCCGATTTCTAATCTGGAGGAATCCTGAGCCTCCCCCTCGCCTATCACCCCAAACCAAGGAGAGAGAGGACCCCCAATCCTCAGGCTCTCGATAGAGGGGTGAAGAACCGGGAAAGAACCTTGAGGAGGTGCAGGAAAGGCGGAGAAGGAGAGGAAAACGCTCGCCGCCATTACACCGCGGCCGTCCTACCTCACCGCCGACTGGCTGCTGGCTGGACTCTGCCGCTTTCCATCGGGCTTGGCTGGCTGGGCCGGCTGGGCCAGCGGGCCGGACAATCGCCGCGGCTGCCGGGCCTCCGCCGTCGTCGCCCCTTGCTGGGGCCGCTGGCGGATTGGGGCCGCGGCTGCCGGGCCTCCGCCGTCGTCGCCCCTTGCTGGGGCCGCTGGCGGATTGGGGCCGCGGCTGCCGGGCCTTCGCCGTTGTCGCCCCTTGCTGGGGCCGCTGGCGGATTGGGGCCGCTGGCGGATTGGGGCCGCTGGCGGATTGGTCCGCCACCGTCGTCGCCGCCGAGTGGGGCCGGAGAGGCCGAGGAGCGGCCTCCTTCTACCAGGCCGCTCCTGGAGGCCGAGGAGCCCCTTGCTGGGGCCGCTGGTGGATTGGGGCCGCTGGCGGATTGGTCCGCCGCCGTCGTCGCCGCCGAGTGGGGCCGGAAAGGCCGAGGAGAGGCCGAGGAGCGGCCTCCTTTTACCAGGCCCACCCCGCCGCCGTCGTCGCTGCCGAGTGGGGCCGGAGAGGCCGAGGAGAGGCCGAGGAGCGGCCTCCTTCTACCAGGCCGCTACCAGGCCGCCCCTTCCACTCCTTCTGCCAGGCCGCCGGGCGAGGCCGAGGAGGCCGAGGAGGCCAAGCCATCACCGCTCCCTCTGCCAGGCCACTCCTTCTACCAGGCCGCTCTTTCCGGGCCTCCCGCCAGGCCGCCGAGTGGGGCCGGGGAGGCCAAGCCATCGCCAAGCCATCGCCGCGGGACCCGTACCGTCCTCCGGGCTGCGGAGACCCCCCAGGCGAGCCGCCGCCGTGCCGCCAGGCGAGTCTCCAGCATCATTAGGCGAGTCCCTGCCTCCACCCTGCCTCCATCTTCCATCTCCGAGAGAGTCCGCCGGCTGGCGTAGAGGCTGGCCCACCCCCGAGTTATCAACTCCGGAAGCCCATCCGCTGGGTTACCAACCGTCTAAAGACTTACCGGGGTTATAGCAATATTTAATTAACTACCACCATTACCATCTATAAGGGGTAGTTGTACCATACCAACTAGTACATTTCTGGTAGTCATTTGTTACCATTGTCGTTATAGTAATAAGAACGAGATAGAGCACTTAGGCGCTTGCCATCTGCTGCTAGATTGCACCAGCACTTTCGCCCCTTCCTTGTCCCTCCGTGCCGCACTTTACTATTGTTAAGCAGAGCACTTTAGACCTAGCACTTTATTAATGTGCCTTTGAATGTGTGTTGCTACTAACTAATTGCGATCAGTTACGATCACTGATGGACTGCTCCTAAAATCTATGCACTGTAAGAACTGTTCTATAGAAGCCGTCGGAACATCGACTGCCATCTGTATAGCTGCTACTCATGTGGTCCCCTGCCCCCTTTTGTGTATTGTTTCTGCTGCTCGGGTGTAGCGGTGGGGGCAGAAGGGGAGGTGGCCTGGAGCCTGTGATTGAAGATGTGGTGGGGAGGGGGGAGGAGGGGGAGGGGAGATGCTGGCAAGAACCAATGCACCTAACAACAACTGTAGGAGACAGTGTTCTCATACCCCGGGACTGCGGCATGGAGGGGGGGGGGTGTTCCACTAGCCGAGGGGCCCCCATAGAGGTCGTGGTGGGAAGGAGGAGATGCGGGAGAAGGAGACCTCGAATTCGGCCTAATTCGGACCGCTTATCTAAATTAACTATTCCCAAAAGGTCTCCTAAGGTAAATTGGTGTAACCAGGTGAGCGGGCCCTCCGGCTTGAAGGTGGTGTTGTTGAACGCCAGGTCTGTCAACGGAAAAACAACTTGGATCCAGGATTTAATCCTGGAGGAGCGGGCAGATCTGGCGTGCATCACGGAGACCTGGTTGGATGAAGCGGGGGGCGTAAACCTCTCCCAGCTTTGTCCACCAGGTTTCTCCGTGCAACACCAACCAAGAGCCGGAGGACGGGGAGGCGGTGTCGCAGTGGTCTATAGAGATTCCATCCATCTAACCAGGGGCCCCATCCCGCAGACCACAAATTTTGAATGC